ATTCAGAAATTTTGTGGGTGTGATATATATGGTAATGATAAATTTGATGTTGGCCAGAATATTGCAGAGAAGTTTATTTGAGAGTAGTAAGGGCAAGATAGTGTAAACCCTCATTCTGTACTTCAGAGGTATTTAGTTCAAAACTTTGGTTAGAAAGGGAAAATGAGGCAAGAAAAATATGAAGTTTTTTAATGCTGTCTGTATCTTCAAGTTGCACAATTATGAGATGGCATTGTTTTCTTTCTACCCATTGTTTCTTCATGTTGTATTATTTGTGCCATAGCAATACTTTAATTTATAGCATTATCTGGCTTAGTGTATGGACCAAGAACAGGCTTTTCTGAACATGATAATCAACTTTCAGTTACTATAGCATGATAATGGTTTTCCTGACTAGCTGAGCAACTGCTAACTTCTCAAGAAGGACTCTGTTCCATGGAATTAGTTAATTGTTAAGTATTAACATTTTATTTGTAATTTTGTCCTCATTTAATGTCTTTCTTGTTGCAGGTGGCCGTTAATAAGCACAGTAGGCTTTGTTCTGGGAATCAGACATGACAAAGAGAAAAAAGAAAAAAGGCTGCAGATCTGTGGTGCCTGCAAACGAACAGGGGGGTAGTTCATATTCCTGTTGGTTGAAAGAGAAAATTCCCATGGAATTGAATATTAAAGATTGTTTCAGTGATTAAAATATAGTAACCATGATTTGAAAGCAAGATGTTTGACATGTTGGAAGGAAAAGGAGAAGTAGCAGCAGCAGAACTGACTAAGCCCTTGTTTGATTGGTGGACTGTATTAATTAAAAATTGCGTACAAGCGTGTGTGTGTGTGTGTGCACATGATGCATACTGGTATTAATGTCTTGTGTCCAAGAACAAAAAAACAAAACAAAAAACAAATAGAATGCATGAGTGAAAGCTTAATATTTAAATATTTCACAATCAATGTAAACGGTATGTTTTCTTCTTGTGTTTGAAAGAACAGGTAGAAGTGGTTGAAAATATGGAAGGATAGAAAATAAAGGATGCAACAGGAAATGTATAATTTGTTAATGGATCATGGAGAATGTATGAGGAAACAGAAAGTTATGAAAACCGGATATGAATAATAAAAGTTTTTTTTATGTCTAATTCATATTAGCTGCAGTTTATAGCTGCCGTAAGAAGCTGCATGTTCTGCTCTAAAGCAGTAGTTGGTTTGTTAAGGAAAAGAGCAACTGCCAAGCTTGTCGTTTGTTAACATTATTAATATGATGTGACCAATGTGTGATCTACAAGAAATGGATACTTAGTAACCAGGTTGCTATAATATAATAACTTGAAGGTAAACTGTACATAGTAAATGAATTTACTTCTTTTTATTTCTTATGCCAGATTGTGGATGTTAAACCCATGTGATTTTTTTTACGTACATTAAAATTAGGTATGGCACTTTTATTGCTTAGGTATTTTAAATAATTCTTATAAATATATTTATCAAACTTAAGTCTGAAGTGCACTCATGAAGCCTAAATGTTTGGTACTTTTCAGTCTGCCATTGTGTTTTCTGTAATTATTCTCATGATTTGGTTTATCATTGTTCCCATATGGTAAAGCTTCTGTCTGTGTTAATGTTTCTTCTCACTTAAGTTAATTGTTTGAAATAAGATATTCACAAAGTTTTCTCCTTTTTTCATCACTACAATGTTGTGTCAAGATGTAGGGAGGACATAGGAGCTCAATTTTTATTACACCATGTAGAGGCTCCTGCAAATATATATGGGGTACATTAATGAATATCTTACATTAACAAGTGAGTTACAGTTTACATATGGAAGGTATGTGACACATCTATTTGATTCATTGGTAATTTAGTGTGCTACAAAACTGTAAACAAATACGTGGCTATAGATGAAACTGTGTGATTAATTTTGCTTCACCCAGAATTGATTAGATAAAACATACATGACTATGTATAAATATAGGCCTACTGTAATAATCTTTGTTATATTGAAATGATATATTGCTTCCCATGGATGTCCGTTCTTAACACGTAAGCCTATGAAAGTGTGCATGGGTCTGAGAGTTAAAATGTTCTATTGCTTCCTCTTATATTTATGATTCTTTATTCTCTTTGTCTATATTGCATATTAGTGTTGCCCAGTGGAAGAGGCTACTTCCTATATTCATTGGCATGCTGACACAATTGATATGTTGTAGTTGTAGTAGTAGTAGTAGTAAGAATGAATATTTTTTACAAGTTCATGCAGATGAAAATTAAGAGTGTTAGTGATTTGTCAAGTATTCATAAATTAAATAAATGGGGTGTGAATTGTTAATGCAGAATGGTGACCACTATTGTCCTATAAATGAAGGATCCTGATAATGCACCTTGGGATATTGTTTAAGACTCATAATTGTTCTTTACATTATGTGTTTATTAAGAATCATGAGTGGGAATGACTGCCATATGCATAGATCCCAGAAGTTACTACCATACTGCCAGAGATGTAATAAACAATATTAGAATATCATGAACTGATGTAAATTGTTGATGATCTTACACAAAATGCTGTGAGATCAGTGTACCTTTAGTTTAATACTAAAACTCTTTATTCTTTGAGATTAAAGCAAAGATAAATAAAATCAAGAAGCAAGTTGAAGCCTTTTGCCATGACAGGCAAGACTGTTGTGCATTCAAGGCATAAAGGTGATCTTTATTTCTGTGGGCCTTAGGTTTTCTTGTCACAAGAAAATGTTTCTTCCTAGTTATCAGTGAACCATTTCATAGAATGTTTCGTCACATTTTACTGTGATTTATCAGAAAGTCGTGTCTGTTGTGTACTTCAAAATGTTACTGTAGAGAAAACAGATACTGACAATAAAGGTAAAGAAAATGTTTCTTTGGTTTATCTGTGGTATTTTGGAACTGAGGGAATTCCCATGTTTTGTTGTTCCTTGCAATTCTCTGAAAATAATTTTGAACAACTCACACTCTCTCAGGCTAAAACTCAGAAAAATATGTTATAGGCAGCTGATTATGCCAAAGATGGTACATACAAAATGGCAGTTCCATAGCATTGCCAGAAATGTGGTTACTTTTATTAAACATGGAAGAAACTTGGTAGTGTAAAAATGCAAACATTTGAAAAGAGGGTAGCATCAGGTCCTTCAGTCACACTGTGAGCTGTTCATTACAAGCCTGAAAGTTTATCAGCAAGCTGTCATCAGTTGATGGTACCGGCAAGTGAAATTCCAAATAGCAATTATATAGATCC